TTACCTTCACACGGGCAGATAGAGCATATTGTGTTTTAACCCTTTGTACACCACCGATAAGCCGGGTTATTAACCCCACTTGTTTCTTTTTAACAAACAAAAAAAAAAACCCAAAAGAAAAACTCCCACGAATGTGAAAGCATGAGCTGATTTGTAAAAAAAAAATACACCTGCCCTCTTGTAAAAAAATGCACCCATTTTATTAGACACCCCCCCCCCCCCCCGACTTATATCGATCTCTTCGTTTCTATTCCGGTTTTTTTTACATATCGAGAAGGTTTAGGCGGAGACGAATTAAGCAGCTCAATCGTGTACCCTAATTTGGTAGGAGACCAGATTGACATTAAATGTTTTATTTATCTAATTTTACTCGAAGCAGATTAGTTTTAGCTAGATAATGGGGGGGGGGGGTGAACCTACCACATATAGATATTTCCTGAGCGGAAAATTTGATTGTTTAAAATCATTAGTAATGATTCATCGTTACTAATGTGAGCATGCGCGGACAGCGTGGTCGGATGGTAGAGCTGACGACTGCTAAACTGAAAGTCTCGGGTTCGGATCCCGAACTTGAGTACGCAGTTTTTTCCTGAGTCCACTCAGGCCTGATAGGTACGGGACTCATGTAAAAGACATTTAGGCATAGTGCTGACCACAAAATTCCCTGTATGCCGATGTCATTGAAACAGGTGAACTCTACTTCATCTGCCCCCATGTGCCTGGGGAACACGAACTGGAAAAGATGATGATGTGAATGTGACCACACAAAAACAAAATGACTACGTTTCATGGACAGACGTGATCTGTATTCGGTTCACGGCCTCGTCAGACATGTCAAGATACTTGAAATTGGTTTTCAGGTTAGGAACCTTTGATTACAGAACCCCAAATTTCGAATTTATGACTTTGCCCAACTTTGATACTGTGATTTTTCCTAAGTGGTCATCCATAAAGGACGTCAAGCTTCTCTGACGGTTTTTTTACATTCCCCCTTCCCACCGTCACATACCGTCACAAAAAGCCAGACCCCTCCCCACCTAAAATGACGTCACACCTCAGCTTACCCCCCCCCCCCCCAAAGTTTAATTTCCTTCTAAAATATTGACTCAGCTGATTAACACAGTATATTAATCAATTTCTTTTTCATTTACAAAAACAAATTTCTAAACCACGAAATAACGGCTAAATTACGTTTCATGCATTAATTTCTTAAAATGCAAAACTTTGTCGTCACACTATCTGAACACACCCTCTTCCACCTCAACACATCGTCAAAAAATTACGAACCTCTCCCCCCTCCACTTCTATGAGTATGACGTCACTTATCGACGACCCCTAAATGACCATACAGTTTTGAGGTTTTCAGAGTTAGATACAGCTGGAGTCAAATTGAAAACAAGTTAATAAAAAGTCTAGTGACAATTTAAGCGCAATTTCCTTAATTAATTTTTTGTGACCGAACGAAAGGATATTTTTGAAAACTTTCTTCGGCAATATTGTTCTAAATTATGGCAGGAATCTATTGGTAAATGTTTCAAGTCGCTAAGTGGTCTGGTTGCCGAGATATGGGCCAAAAACTGCATTTTTTCGAGGTTTTTTGGCTTCTCCGGGAAATCCAGGAAGGAATTCCAGGAATGAATTTTTTTGGCCCACAATCATCCTCGGAACTTGCTTAACATATTTGCTTTTTGAACTAGTCCTCGATATTGCTTCGTTGAGGAGGAGATACGACTTAAAGCTGCGGACACACATCCATCCATCCAGAAATAACGAATTAATAATCGCAATTGTCCGTATGGAGATTGCGCTAAAAAATATAGCACAGGGCAGAGAATATTTGAGATCTTTTGGTTGGCGTCTTATACTCCGGGGTGACGGGCAGTGAATGAATGAAGCATGGATGTGGTCAGAAAACTTGGTCTTTACCCACACATTCAGCCATCCCACCCACCCTTCACCCTTTCCCGATTTTCCAGACAAAATCCGAACCCTTCAGATGTATTTGCTTGGACTTTGATCTTGACCCAGTTTCTGACGACTAACCCATCGTGTTTTAAAAAAAAATGAATCACTGTTTAACAGGAGTAATTACACAATTAAAATACCAGCTGTCATCGACCCTACCGATTACATAGACAATGACACACGCCAAGAATTAGGTCACTAGCCAACCCCTCCCGCTAACGAGTGTAACGACCCGGATGTTTCTGGTGAAATTGCAGCGTCCGGAGCCTCGTTTTGATATTCACCCTCCGAGTTCAATGGCTGTTGTTTGATCCTTAAATAAATACTTTTGTCGTGAGATTGTCGGTGTGGGTGTCTTCTCCAACTAGGGTAGCTGTATCTTAAAGGGAGAGCACATAAGGACCCTACCTATGTTTAAGCACGCTAATTACTGTTTCCTTTCATAGGAGCATGTGGTTTCTAGATTTCTGTCTTTTGTAATAGGGTATATGAATGTAGACATGTATTCCGCGAATAATTTTGGATATATTATGTTGCTTTTAAATTTATCAACCTCAAAAAATAATATTTAAAAAATATTTCTATTCCGTACTATATTTTGAATATTGATTCGTCAGTAGAACGTCCCTGAGTTTACCCAGCTCTGATGGGTACCTAACTCACGTTAGGTAAAGTAAATGCAGCTTGGCATAGTGCTGACCACACTATCTCTTAATATGCCGTGGTCACAGAAACAGGTGAACTCTACTTCGCTTGCCGCATGGACCATCAGATTCGAAAAGGGCTTTACTTTTTATTACACTTTTTATAACTTATTAGCAAAAGAATTTTTAATCATAAGTTTCAACGTTTATGTCGCAGTATTTTAATTGATTACAGCGATGGTAAACATAAAGCAATCCTTACACTAACCCTAAACTGACAGCAATAATAATCATGTCCTATGATAGCATTGACCATTCCTCATAGTAAGAAATCATAAAACCACAATTATTGTAAGCTTTTTGTGAATCCTACTGTTTTTTCATCACAAAAATGCTATTTCTCAACTGTTAGAAATTATAAAACCACTAATATTGTAAGCTTTTGGAAAATCCTATTGTTTTTTTTTTCATCACAAAAAAATGCTGATTCTTAACTAAAATGAATCTTTTAACTGAAACTGAAGACTATAACTCTCTGTAGTAATTGGCTTGGAATGGTTTCCAGTTTTCCCACGTCGAGACTGCACCAGGTGTCGTACAGGTAGTAGATCCGTCTTTGTCAACAGAGGCGGACCACCCTGCCCCCACCCACCGCCCATACTCTTTACGTCTCAGATCATAGAGAGATTTTTTTTTTACCCCAGCTCTACTGTATGGGATAAGATATGAATGAAACTTAATGCTAAATCGTCAACTTAGTCTGGGCATTGCGTGTTTTTCTTGCGGGTGGGCGATTGGTATTTGGAAGGAGGGGGGGGGTGTAAGTGGATAGCTTGCGGTTAAGATGTTGGTGAAGGGGGGTGTTAGAAGGATTGTTTTGTGGATAAAGTGGTGGTAGGAGTGTAAAGAGATTGCTAACGGATAAAGTAGTGGTTTTAGTGAAGGGAGGGGATAAAGGTCGGTGGGATTAACAAGGTAAAACAGGGTATGCCATAAGTGTAAGAAAGCGGCCATAAAACAGGCGAAAGTTGGACGTATCCTAGACTGGTTACACTGTCAAACAACGGAGGTTCAGCTCGGAGCGGTTAACGACTGTATCGTCTGCCGTTCACGTCTGAGAGGAGGGAGAGGGGAGGGGGGAGGGAGGGAATGTAAGGGCCCTCTTGAACCCATTCATGTTTTATTGTAGGGGTAGGCGTGTACAATCTGCAGCACACACAATGTGTCTGTGTCTTCCGTTGAGGGGAGCCCATTCATAAACTGCATGTTGCTGCTTCAGTCATCTGACACCGTGACTTCGGTCATCTGACAAGGGAGACTTCAGTCATCTGACAAGGGCGACTTCAGTCATCTGACAAGGGCGACTTCAGTCATCTGACAAGGGCGACTTCAGTCATCTGACAAGGGAGACTTCAGTCATCTGACACCGTGACTTCGGTCATCTGACAAGGGAGACTTCAGTCATCTGACAAGGGAGACTTCAGTCATCTGACAAGGGAGACTTCAGTCATCTGACAAGGGAGACTTCAGTCATCTGACACCGTGACTTCGGTCATCTGACAAGGGAGACTTCAGTCATCTGACAAGGGAGACTTCAGTCATCTGACACCGTGACTTCGGTCATCTGACAAGGGAGACTTCAGTCATCTGACACCGTGACTTCGGTCATCTGACAAGGGAGACTTCAGTCATCTGACACCGTGACTTCGGTCATCTGACAAGGGAGACTTCAGTCATCTGACAAGGGCGACTTCAGTCATCTGACAAGGGCGACTTCAGTCATCTGACAAGGGAGACTTCAGTCATCTGACAAGGGAGACTTCAGTCATCTGACACCGTGACTTCGGTTATCTGACAAGGGAGACTTCAGTCATCTGACAAGGGAGACTTCAGTCATCTGACAAGGGCGACTTCAGTCATCTGACAAGGGCGACTTCAGTCATCTGACAAGGGAGACTTCAGTCATCTGACACCGTGACTTCGGTCATCTGACACCGTGACTTCGGTCATCTGACAAGGGAGACTTCAGTCATCTGACAAGGGCGACTTCAGTCATCTGACAAGGGCGACTTCAGTCATCTGACAAGGGAGACTTCAGTCATCTGACAAGGGAGACTTCAGTCATCTGACAAGGGAGACTTCAGTCATCTGACAAGGGAGACTTCAGTCATCTGACAAGGGAGACTTCGGTCATCTGACACCGTGACTTCAGTCATCTGACAAGGGCGACTTCAGTCATCTGACAAGGGCGACTTCAGTCATCTGACACCGGCGACTTCAGTCATCTGACACCGGCGACTTCAGTCATCTGAAACATTGACTTAAGTCATCTGACACGGGCGACGATTCATGCCATACAATTAAAGTTTTAGTTGACTTTATCTACGTGACCTGTTTTCCATATGTGAGACCTGACAGATGCATTATGGGATATTTTTAATGCCTTGTGTAGGGTGCTCGAACAAGGTACAGTCTGATTTACAGTTTAATATCATACCGTTTTTAGTTCTAAAGAAATAAAATTAAACTAACTCAAAAAAATAAAATTAAAAAAAAAAAAATAAAAAAAAATTACAAGAAAAGCTACAAGAATATGTTTAGACAACGTGATCTCCTTGTTCAAAAAAATGAACAGAGAATTCAAGTTGAAGTTGACAGCTAATGGTTGCGAATAATTAAGCGTTGAACATTTTTCCCTCATTATTCAAAGAACAACTCAGATCTGAGTGAACTTGTGTCCGGGAACCAATCTCGAGACTTTTGAATTAAGAATAGCACGCTCTACTACTCGGCTACGTGTTTAAAATTACTCCTTGCGAGGTGGTGTCTCTATAATTGTTTTCGTCTTTTTTATATTCAGTAAAGATTTCTTTACTTTACCTGTGTAGCCCAAATAACTCATGTTCAGTAAAGTTTTTCTGTGTAGCCCGAATAAATCATGTTCAGTAAAGTATTTCTGTGTAGCCCATGTAAATCATGTTCATTAAAGTATTTCTGTGTAGCCCATATAAATCATGTTCAGTAAAGTTTTTCTGTGTAGCCCGAATAAATCATGTTCAGTAAAGTTTTTCTGTGTAGCCAGTATAAATCATGTTCAGTAAAGTATTTCTGTGTAGCCATATAAATCATGTTCAGTAAAGTTTTTCTGTGTAGCCCGAACAAATCATGTTCAATAAAGTTTTTCTGTGTTGCCCATATAAATCATGTTCAGTAAAGTTTTTCGGTGTAGCCCATACAAATCATGTTCAGTAATGTTTTTCTGTGTAGCCCATATAAATCATGTTAAGTAAAGTATTTCTGTGTAGCCCATATAAATCATGTATGTAAAGTTTTTCTGTGTAGCCCATATAAATCTTGTAAAGTAAAGTTTTTTCTGTGTAGCCCACAATGATGATGCTTATTGAAGTTTCTGTGTCTCTCCTAGCCTATAAGAACCATACAAATGGCATTTGGTGTAACCTACAAAACCAGAGTTTCCACTCAATAACATTGACTGTCATAAACACACGTTACTTTATTAAAATTCCTTTTTTTGTTCAACCAACACACCCTACAAGTTTTGTAGTTAACTATTGGCTAATGGACACCAGCGAGAAAAGTCTCAAAGGTATTTGAGAGGTGTATATATTCATTTAAAAATCTTGCACGGCGTAGTAACAATTAATATGGTTATAAAATCCTGTCTGTCTGGTTTTTTTCGGACTTTACTAAAGATTGGATGTATTTGATGTTTTTAATATTTTCGGTAACTAAATAAAAATTTAAAAAAAAAGCAAAAACAATTTGGTTTTCACGTGTAATGGCGACATAAACAATGGCCGCCATAAATTTTATTGTACACATTGTAAGCTAAAAATAGAAAAAATAGGTCATGGTGTTTAAATTTGCATAGTTATTTAAAAACTTGATCTGCAAAGTTTTGTAAACAAAATAACTATAAAGTGGCGCTGTCAGAAATCGATCACGGAGTTCCTTTACAGTCAATCAATGTTTGTCTTACGAAAGTGAAACATCGGTTATAACTTAGGCTTGATGAAAATAAATAGAAATGTAGCCTTAAACTCAACAAATTATTTTCAAGTTCTCTGGATCTGCAACTTGTACAGCATTGATTCTAAAAATATTACATTTCTGAATTAATTTTCAGCTTAAGTTTTTAATAAAATTTTATCTTTTATTAGTTTTATGGTCCTAAATCTAAAAAAGCACATTTTTATTCCATGTCAACAACATTACGGAAGGAATCTCGTCAACTCACTGGTGTCCATTGCTAACATGTTGAAGATATCCAATAATTAAAACGTATTTTTTATTTATTTATTTAACCGTTATAAAATTGCTAAACCTAATCATGTAATGTACTAAGCCTAATGAATTACATTTTTTGTTTCAACAATTTTCACTGCATGCATTGACTTTAAACACAATATATGTATCAATTATCTTGTTGTGTTTCTTTCAGGGCATTAGACAACAGCAGGCGAGGAGGATACAAATTATGGATGAGAATTTTACAAATTAATGTGGATATTTAAAAAAGAGCTTTAGAATTTCATCAAATAATGCAAAGATTGTGTTCTTCATGCAAACCGAAGATACAAATTCGTGTCGTTGAGTAAACAAAAAAAAAAAAAAAACCAAGGTAATAAAATAAAATTCAATTATTAATAGTTTTTACATCCAAGATATTAATAAAGTTGTATGGAGGTTCTGAAACTAGAAATACAGGATTGTTTTGTTAAGTCTTGGCGTGGATACATTTAAACACACGCAAGCCAATTACAAGAGTGTACGTGTACATGATCAAATAATGGATTTGTGAACTTCATCGAGTGCTAGGCGGGGCTGAGTGGTGATTATAAACTTGGTTCTAGTGTGGGTTGAAGTCCTGATAAAGTCTTGGATAAGTTCCTGCAATTCTGGAATAAAGTCTTTAAAGTCTGGAGTAAAATCCTGAAATTCTGGGATAGCGCCCTGGGATCTGGAAAAGTGTCCTGAAATCTGGAATAAAGTCCTGAAAGTCTGGAATAAAATCCTGAGATTCTGAGATAGAGTCCTGGGATCTGGAATAGTGTCCTGAAAATCTGGAATAGTGTCCTGAAAATCTGGAATAAAGTCTTGAAAGTCTGGAGTAGAGTCTGAATGTGTGGGTAAAGACCAAAGAGTGCGATATTGTCCTGCGAATTTCGCTTTTGTCCTACAAGTCCTAACAGGTTTTCTGAAAGCCTAGGCTGCTGTCCTTCTAGTCTGGGCTTCATGACGTGGTTGGTCCTACAAGAATCTCGCCCGTTGGATAGTTTATGCTTGTTGGCACATCCTTGCTGTTTCTCTAGGTGAGTACATTTCTGTTGTGGTCATGTATTAGCGATGCGAATGTCGAGCATCACACTGAGGAATTTATGTTCGATACAGTTAATCAGTTTATATAACAAACGGTCTAATATATGGTTACATACAAGGCGAAACCCCGCTTATGAAAAGCTTGTAGGTGAAAGTCATAAGTAAAGTTCCTTTCAAACCTGACGGTCTACGGGGCAAGTGAAGTAGTGAAAGCCATGTTCTTTCCAAACAAATTTTTTATTTCATAATCTGAAGTTTTCGAGCTCCATAAAACTTATAGTGTCTCTTGTTTATCACATCTTTTCCCGTTAGTGCCTAAGACAGATAGGCCAGTTGAAGTAGAGTTCACCGGTTTCGGTAACCTCACTATAAAGGAGGATAGTGTGGTCAGCATTATGCCCAGCCACCTTAGTTTCCTTATAACGTGAGTCAGGAACCCATCAGAGCTGGGTAGACACAGTGACGTCCTAACGACTCGAGCCCGAGATCTAAACTCGAGACGTTCTAGTTAGCAATCGAAGCTCTAACCCCCGACCACGCTTTCGCTCTAGTGTCTCGTGTTTCTAAATTCAAATTTGTCATCTAGGCTAAATCTCGTCTCCCTAATTGTAAAGCTGCAATTTTTAAAAGGTACCCCATATTTAGACACACTTTAAAGTTGTTTTGTAGCTCTGATATCGCCAAACGGAAGAACGGCAATAAGTTTTAAATCTAAATTTCAAACTATTTTTGTTTTCTAATAACTGTTCACAAAATTAAGTGAGATGTGCTGTTGATAAACATATTAAGGAATCTGCGTTTATGTAATATTATAGCATTATACACGTTACACTTTATACATTTTTTTTCTAATATAGTTCGTGAAAAAAAAATTCGCATTTATTCTGGTTACCGACCGCTAACCAAATTTAAGTAATGTAATTTTCCGAAAAAAAACAAACAACAACAACCTCCAACTGCACCAGAAGGTCTGCAGGTGTTTACATGTTATTTAAATCATCCACCCGTTCCTCCCCATCCCCGGGGTATATGGCAACTCACCCATTAACATCACCGAATATTCTAGAACCTGCGATAGCCGCCCCCCCCCCCCTCTCTTAATTCCATGAACCCTATCAAATGATCGTTACTTTGTAAGTTGTATGCGGAAAGTGTAAATATTTTATAACAATGCATTGCCTTAAGGTAGTGCACTATGTAAACCCTTGCAACGCCCCGTCTTTCATCCTTCAGAGTTGTAATCAAAGTAAAGAGTACTCGATTAACGTTACACAGTGCTCTTAGTAGTTTCATATAAAGTCAATTTTATCGTACACTGTGCTCTTGTTAGTTTCATATAAGGTCAATTTTATTATTACACAGCGGTCTTGTTTGTTTCATATAAAGTCAATTTTATCGTTATACTATGTCCTTGTTAGTTTAACATAAGGTCAATTTTAGCGTTATACAGTGTCCTTGTTAGTTTAATATAAGGTCAATTTGAGCGTTATACAGTGTCCATGTTAGTTTCATATAAGGTCAATTTTATCATCACACAGTGGTCTTGTTAGTTTCATATAATATCGGTCGTATAGTTAATAGGTTATATATACTTGAAAAGCGCAGACGTTTCATGAAGCCATTCAAAAATAAATGGACCCCAGGTTAAACCCTGTTCCCGTAGTGTTTGAGGGGTTGTTGTGATCGTCGTGGCACATGTTGATGTGATTGTCATAGCATTATTGAGAAGCCGCGTAGATGCGACTATTATGATACTACGTTGATGAGATTGTCATAACATCATTGCTAAGTCGGGCAGACCTGGCTATCCTGGTCTCATAGAGAAGCCAAAATAACACAATGTTTCATCCCCTATTAGCATATAGTTTTTAAAAAAAATGGGAAACTAGTGTTTAACTTCGTAAGAAGTTCATCTGTTTCTTTGACCTCGGCAAATGAAAGGATAGTGTGGTCAGCACTCTGCCCAGACGCCTTTACTTTCCCTAACGGCAGTCAGGTACCCATCAATCCTGAGTGGAATCAGAACGTCCCATGTTTGAACTTTGACCCTAGACTAATGATCCACCTGTTGACAGGTCGCTCTCAGATGTACCAAAACAATAAATCACTCAACACGACATGTCTGGGGTTAACACCCCCCTCAGATAAGGTGCTAGAACCGCCAGCGGAGCTTGTAAAGGTATAATCCACCCGCTAGCGGGGTATCACAGTTACATGGGAGGTAACATGAGATGATCTCAGGGGTGGCATTCACGGCGGGCAGAGGTGGGGGAGTTTGTGGAGGATACACTGCCCTGATTCTGGTTTGTTGGTGGGACTTGGTGTTGAACTCTTGTGTTGTGATATGGCCTGTTGTAATGTCTAGTCTCTAATGTTGTAATGTCTAGTCTCTAATGTTGTAATGTCTAGTCTCTAATGTTGTAATGTCTAGTCTCTAATGTTGTAATGTCTAGTCTCTAATGTTGTAATGTCTAGTCTCTAATGTTGTAATGTCTAGCCTCTAGCGCCCTGTTGTAATGTGCTGCGAGAGAAGTAATGTGTACGGGTGGGGGGGGGGGGGAAATGTCCGGCGCCGGGGAGGAGGGAATGTCCTGCTCGGTTCCGATCTCGCGACTTTCATGTCAACATGCCTGTATGCTACAGTTAGACCACTCCATACCTCACTCCAATAACTACTACTCCATATTAATATAAGATCTAATCAAGAAGCAAAGGCACTATGCTCACGACACATTGGGCAGATGAAGTAGAGTTCATATGAAGGGATAGTGTGGGTCAGCACCATACCCAGCCGCCTTTGTTTCCCTAACTTAAGTTAGGTACCCATGAGAGCCACGCTAGGCCACGCCGTCTTCATGGCCTAACTAATACGGTAAATTAATTTTTTTTAGCGCAATTTCCATACTGGCAATTGCGATTATTAACTCGTATAGTGATGGATGTGTGTCCGCGCTTTAAGTCGTATCTCCTCCTCAACGAAGCAATATCGAGGACTAGTTCCAAAAGCAAATATGTTAAGCAAGTTCCGAGGATGATTGTGGGCCAAAAAAAAAATTCCCGGAATTCCTTCATGGATTTCCCGGAAAAGCCAAAAAACCTCGAAAAAATGCAGTTTTTGGCCCATATCTCGGCAACCAGGCCACTTAGCGACTTGAAACATTTACCAATCGATTCCTGCCATAATTTAGAACAATATTGCCTAAGAAAGTTTTCAAAAATATCCTTTTGTTCGGTCACAAAAAATTAATTAAGGAAATTGCGCTTAAATTGTCACTAGACTTTTTATTAACTTGTTTAATGGAGACATTTATGAACTAATATGGTTAATTAAGTTTTTTTTAATGGAGACATTTATGACCTAACTTATAAAATAAATTAAGTTATTTTAATGGAGATATTTATTAACTAACTAATAAGGTGAATTAAGTTATGTTTATTTTAAAAATGGAGACATTTATGGGCTGCTTACAAATGTCAATCTAACAACGACTAGGTCGCTGTACCAGTCGCAACAACGGAGGTAGAGGGAAACCACACCAGGAGTGTGAAAACTTGCTATACCTGAAATATCACTTGACACATGTTGACTAGTATTTTAATAGAGAGTTTAGAAAATTATATGTGTTAGTTTATACTCAAGACAATTTGAGCGTGAACAGTTTGAAGCGGATGTAAATACCTAACATTCTGGTAAGGTTTTTTTTAAATCTGATATATAGCTTTAATATAACTAGCTCTTTTTATGTGAATGCCATACCGGGAAAAAACAACGAATTTTGAAATTGTAGAAGCAGGCTTTCAAGCCACAGTTTTTGTAAGTTAAGTAAAGTACCAGTTCAAAGCAAGATGAAGTAGAGTTCGTCTGTTTCAGTGAAGGTATATGTAGAGGCGTAGAGTTTTATTCCGGCGCCCAGGGCGGATTACCAATTTTGTGCCGCCTCCTTCCCATTTCTATATATAGTTTCTCCTGTCTGTGGCGCTTCTTACCAGTTACTATTCCTTAAAATTTGCTTTTTTGGTGTCATAAAAATCAGAAAACAGTAAAATCAGTGTGTAAAACCTTGTAGTCGTTTATTTTCATAACTTTGACTTGGTATAATTCAATATGTAAGCTTCAAAATAGCTTTCAAAAGTTAAATTTTCTACCCCTTTTGGCGCCCCCCCTTAGGGTCGGCGCCCCTAGATACGCCATTGGGTATAGTGTCAGCACTATAATCTGCCGACTTAACTTTCCCGAACGTGAGTACCCATCAGAGATGGACGGACTTAGGGACGTCGTATAGACTAGAATCTGAACTCGAGACTTTCAGGTTAGCAGTCGAACGCTCTGACATTCGACCACACCGTCCCTTACCCACACGTAAGATCTCTGAAGTTTAACTTCATGTTGAAAGGTAGCGGCATCACAAACTGATCAACTCATGTCTTGGTCTAGTTTTTTTATTAACACGTACAATCTCTGTAGGAACATCAAATGTTTTATCGCTCCTCTTATACTTAAAGGGCAAATAGAGATTTACGTAGGTGGGTTTGTGTGTGGAAGGAGGGTTTGTGTGTAGGAGGAGGGTTTGTGTGTGGGAGGATGGTTTGTGTGTGGGAGGATGGTTTGTGTGTGGGAGGAGGGTTTGTGTGTGGGAGGAGGGTTTGTGTGTAGGAGGAGGGTTTGTGTGTGGGAGGATGGTTTGTGTGTGGGAGGATGGTTTGTGTGTGGGAGGAGGGTTTGTGTGTAGGAGGAGGGTTTGTGTGTGGGAGGAGGGTTTGTGTGTGGGAGGATGGTTTGTGTGTGGGAGGAGGGTTTGTGTGTGGGAGGAGGGTTTGTGTGTGGGAGGAGGGTTTGTGTGTGGGAGGAGGGTTTGTGTGTAGGAGGAGGGTTTGTGTGTGGGAGGATGGTTTGTGTGTGGGAGGAGGGTTTGTGTGTGGGAGGAGGGTTTGTGTGTGGGAGGAGGGTTTGTGTGTGGGAGGAGGGTTTGTGTGTGGGAGGAGGGTTTGTGTG